CCCGCCCGCCGCCACCAACACCGCCACCATTCCGCCCCTACCTTCCCGTTGCCGGCGGCCCCCAGCTGCCACCATGCAAGAGCTCATCGCCAGCGTGGACCACATCACGTTCGACCTGGAGCTGGCAGTGGAGCAGCAGCTGGGGGCACAGCCACTTCCCTTCCCTGGAATGGACAGTGCGTGTGGGCTCCTTCTTGCGCGGGGTGCTCGGGCCTGGGGCCGGGGCCTTGGGGCCGAGGGGGGTGGGCTGGGAGGTTTTCAGGGAGCTGAGTATCTTCCTCAGATCTTGTCCTCAGGTTCACTCAATTTCGCTTTCCCCGTGAGGTTTCTGTCTTCATCCAGGTGTTTTTCTTTTCTAGTGAAAATCTGTAGTTGGTACCCAGCCAGGCTGGAAGATTAAAGTTGAGATGTTACCGTAAACGAACATTGCTCTCTTGCACAGTACTTTGTATGTCCTTTTTCATCCCCTTTTGGTAGATGAGGCATTTCAATGTCAAGCTTTATCATCTTTAGATATATTCGTGGCTTACTTTCCAAATATTTTCCTTCAGTTGACGCAGACTCAGGAGACACCTGAGTTTGCTGCTTTTTTCTGGCTGGGCTGTTAAACTTGCGTTAAACTCCCTTGAATGTTCCTGTTGGTCAGGATCAGCAGGGGATAATTTTGGGCAGTTCTGGTAAAAGAATATAAGACTATTATGCTGTGGTTGTAAATATAGCATTCAGGAGTTAACTTTGATGATCCCTGTGGGTCTCCCAACTTCCAACTCAGGATATTCTGTGTTATGACTGACTTAACAGAGGAAAGCGCAGTCAAGAACTTAAATAGCTGAAAAGCAAAACAAGTACCTCCAAATTTCTGCAAATTCCCCTTGGCTTCCCTCAAGAAGAAAACAGGTATATTTGAGGTTCAGGCTTTAACAAAGAACTCATGCAGTAAGGTAAATTCCCCAAACCAAAATGCTACTTTTCTCTTTATGTTGGAGGTCAAATTTCCTTTCTAGGCCAGGAAGTATTTTGAAAGTTGCCATGAAGCTTTGTTACAATAAATGATGTTTCCTTGTTCTCTCCACAGAATCTGGYGCGGCTGTCTGTGAGTTTTTTTTAAAGGCGGCATGTGGAAAAGGCAAGTTGTATGGAATGTTGGAAAATGCAATTATTCTTGCAGGGTAGAGGGGCGAAAATAGATTTTCTAGTACTGTTTATAGTGTTCTTGCTTTGTAAAGCTGAGGGCATAACACAGAGAGAGGATAAAACTGAAGTATTTTGGAACATTTGCAACAATTGGGAAATAACGGTGTTTTTTAAGGGAGCTGGGAAATAAATAAGCAAAACTATTTTTATAGGAAGGTTTAAACTTACCACTAGCTGGCTTTGCTCTTAGTTGCTGTGGTTTGTAGTTTCCAGGATTAAGAGCTGGAGACAGTTGTGAAGCTCATTAGAGGGTGACACAAGACTATTTTGGAACTCCCTGTTTTGCTGTTATCACTTCAGGCTGAAACCATAAGTGATGCTTTCTGAAAMTCCTCTTGCAGAGCAGAGCAGGATGTTGCCGTTGCCCTGTGTGACCCATTTTAATGGTTTTTTTTCCCTTCTTGCCCCATCCATCCTTCCACAGGAGGCATGTGCCCATTCCGACACATCAGTGGGGAAAAGACAGTTGTTTGTAAACACTGGCTACGAGGACTGTGCAAAAAGGGAGACCAGTGCGAGTTTCTGCATGAGTATGACATGACCAAGATGCCCGAGTGTTACTTCTACTCTAAATTTGGTAAGCAGCCTCTGCTTAGCCTTCCTTGCTCRTGTGGGAGTTTGAAGAAGACCCTGGTATATCCCTCTCATCCACCCTCAGAGCATTGCATTCTTCTGTGTCTGATGTTAGACTGATAYATTTCAAGATCTTCACCTTATCCACATAAACTTGTGATGTGTTGTAGATGTTGTCACTCGAGAACTTGTCTCTTGCAGGAAGAGGGGGGAGACTGCCATTTTTACTGCTTTTTCTGCCTTAGATTCATTTTTTGGGGTATGATATGAGTAGGCTGAGCAGCTGGTCTTGGCATGGCTCTTATTTTGGGGAGCTGATGAACAGCAGAGGGCATAGGGTGCAAAACTTTGATGCATTTGCTTTCCACCTCTGGAGATCTGGGCATAATGAGGCAACTTGCTGTCAGAAATTTGCAGTCTTTCAGATTTCCTTGGATGAGGTTAGTGTGCAATTTGTAGGTTCTCCACACATCTGGTGCACTAAATGTCAGGCTTTTGTTACCATGACTGCTCTTTCAAATTTAGTTCCGCTATTGTTTTTAAAAACATGCATAAATAATCCAGTCTGGTAGAAATTGGCTCATCAGGGGTGAGTCCTTGGAGCACTTCATGGAGATTGAGGCAGACTGAATTTACAAATGTTGGTAACAGGTCTTTGGCAGCTACACGATGCAGGTAATATTTTGAGAGTCATTTTGATCTCAGACCTGCACAATTACTGTATTTGATTTTGGTACAGGGGAATGCAGTAACAAGGAATGTCCATTCTTGCAYATTGACCCGGAGTCGAAGATCAAAGACTGTCCCTGGTATGACAGAGGCTTCTGTAAACACGGTATGTACCTCCCACAGTCGCTTTTTCTCCAGCTGGAGATCAAGGGCAGGGGTGTTGCTGTTGTCTCTTTACATGATCTGCTGGTGTATGTGCTGGGGGATGGAATGTGAACTGCTGAGCTTTGTGTTGCAGGTCCCCTCTGCAGACACCGGCACACTCGGAGAGTCATTTGTGTGAATTACCTGGTAGGATTYTGTCCAGAGGGGCCTGCCTGTAAATTCATGCAGTGAGTATGCTCCAGGCCTGTACTGGAGCTTTGTGTTTCCCAAGCTGCATGTCAAATGAGGGTGCTCCCGTGCTTCCCAGTGGTTTGGAGATTTGCCAGTGTTTAGTTGGGACAATCRTTTACTGATTTGAGGATTGAGAAGGCATTTACAAGAGCAGGTAGTGACAGGACAAGGGGGAATGAATGGTTTCAAAGTGAAAGTAGGTAGCTTTAGGTTAAGACATTATAAAAATATGCTTCCCTGTGAGGGTGGGGAGGCCCTGGCACAGACTGCCCAGAGAAGCTGTGGTTGCCCCATCCCTGGGAGTGCCCAAGGCCTGGTTGGACAGGGCTTGGAGCAATCTGATATAGTGGAAGGTGTCCCTGTCCAWGGCAGGAGGGTGGAACTGTGGGAGTTTTGAGATCCTTCCCAACCAAACCATTCTGTGATATGGGGCAGGGCCTCTCCAGGGACATCCCAGTAAGATTGGCATGGTGATTAGATGCCATCAGTGCAGTGGAATCACATGGATTTATATTCCAGAAGGCAGAGGGGTATGCTACACACATGCAGAGAGAGGTGGGGTGGGGGAGGTCTGTTTTCTATGAGCCAGATTTAATTGGCTGAATGTTTTGTTGTTTGGAGTTACTTGACTGAGCTGATGATAAAATGTTGGCATATAATTTGGGAATCAATGTTCTTGTTTCCATCTAAACCAGCCCTCGGTTTGAACTGCCAATGGGAACCACAGAGCAACCACCACTGCCTCAACCAACACAAACACAGCAAAAGGTACCCAGCTCCCCTGCCTCCCCACACACCCACCCTCAAACCTTTCCCACAGTGCTTTAGAATAGAATAGATGGTCTAGAGGTCAGAATTGGGCACTTAGGCTYCTGGGTCTGGGAGGGAGAATTAAGCAATGAGCAACCCTGAGTGCCATTATAGTGATGAAAGCCCCACAATTGTTCCAGCTTTACATAGAGATCATGTCACAGAACACTCCCACACTACACAGAAGCACATCATATGTGGTTGTGCAGCAGTCTGCCAGGTTTTGTAATCAGGGTGACATCCCTYAGTGATGGCAATGGTATTTTAGCAGCCTAAACCTACTCTCCAAATCTGCTTTCCAGAGAAAAACAGGATCACTGGGCTTTGTAAGGCTCAGTGCTTGATTTCTTCTCTCTGGTGCTCCAGCTGGCAGAGCACCCACACACAGATTTGGAGGAAAATTGATCATTTGACATATGGGGTGCTCTTTTCCCTTCTTAACAAAACAACAACCACAAAGATCTTTACCCTGGATGCATTTAACAAGTCAGAACTCTTCTCCACCCAACAGAGGACACCCCAAGTCATTGGAGTCATGCAGTCTCAAAATAACAACAGTGGGAACAGAGGACCCCGGCCGTTGGAGCAGGTCACCTGCTACAAGGTAATGCACAGGGGACAGCTGAGGAGGGAAAGCACAGTGTGAAGAGGTTCAGTGTGAACTCTGAGCTCKGCTCAGTGGATGTTGTGTGGTGCCTGGATACAGCTGTGGAAATTGGCCTTGAGTTCTGAGGTCACTGCCTTGCCAGTCCTGGACTTGGTGTGGCAAAGATTCTGTAGGATTTTGCTAATAAACAGCAAACCCTGCCCTGAGAACAGTGAAAGGAGACTGCCAAGTTGCACATTTCAAAGTAACAGCTAATGGCAATTTTTTGTCTCATAAGCTAATTTGCTTACGATGGTGGGTGTAGATCCTTTCTTCCCTGTTAGCCTGTAAGGTCCTTGAAAGTAACAGAAATTAGGTTTGCAAAGCCTGCTTGGTATTTGAGTTGTAAGTACACCTTGTGGTGTCAAACCAAAGAATGAGTTGTTCACCTTGCTCACTCCTTGAGGAGCACCAGGAAAATTTGGATACAATCAAGTTTTCATCTCCTTATTTTTCCACAAAAGCCCCAGTCACTAGAAAAGGACAAAGAATCTTCCTGTCCCATCAGCYCATCATTTTCCATGTCAACTCTGARCCTTAGRTTRTKTGTTTKGGTGMAAATCACTGTGACTGGACAGGGATATTAAATAGCTGACTCCATTTCACTGAAAACCTTTAATAGCTGCCTGTTTTATCTGCAAGTAAATTACACATCTGGAGAAGGCTGTTGCACCAGATACTGATATTTCTCTGTGTTTGAGTAGCTCTAAGATGCAAAGTCATCAATTTGTGACTTTCACAAGTTCAGAGGTGCTTTKCTCTGTTTAATTCAGGGTAGCTGATCAGGAGAGTCCCCATGGATATGGTGCCTGGTCAGATGGAGTCGTCTTAGAAGCCTCAAATATCGAAATYCTCCTTGTGTGCTGAGGGTTCTCTCCTTTGAAATGTTTTAGAATAACATGGCATCAGGTTACTCCCAGCACAGAAACAGCTTTTGCTCCAAGGAGTGCTAGCAGCCCATAAATCCTGTCCCTTCTGACACCTCRTTTCACTTCCCCTGCCAAATGCTGCATCTTCCATGTCTGGAAAAGCTTCCAAATGGCAACAGTTGCTGGGTGCCTTAAAAAAGGCAGCAAGAAGGAAAAAGTTGGAACTCTGCAATAATTCCTGTCTCTCTCTTTTTTTCAGTGTGGTGAAAAAGGTCATTATGCCAACAGATGCACCAAAGGACACCTGGCCTTTCTCAGTGGACAGTGAAGGAGCAGCAGGAAGGTGCAAGGGAGTTGTTACCACTGAGGAAAGGTTTCTGCCTAGCACAATGTCTGGAGCTATTAATCAGGTTGTTTTTTTAATGCCATTACTGAAAGAATTGGTAAGAGGCTGCCTGCTGCTAAGCAACATTTTTGTAATTGTCCCCAACTTTTTTTTAAGTTTTAAYCTTTTTAAAATCGATTTTGGCCTCTGCCTGTTTTCATTGAGCCCTGATCGAAGGTAGATCTAAAAGCCARTAGATAAACCAAGCCCTTACTGGTGCAGCACTCCACATAAACACATCTTAGGCCAGTGTTTCTTTCAAGTATTTTTCCACTTCTCTTTGGAGAATCTGCAGCGYTTCAACCCTCCATATGGAAGCAGGAAGACTGACTGGGAAAAATTAACACTTGCAATGCCTTCTCCTCAGTGAGGAAGCAGGAATTCTGCTGTCCTGTAGCACTTCAAAAGCAAAGTCCTATTTCCAGGTGAACCTGGTGAGCTTGCCCTGGTGGCTGACGTAACTCCTGACATAGATCAGGCAGTAAAACCCGTGTCCACTTGCTTTGTTTCTGTGCTTCTTGCTGTACTGAAGGTTAGAAATCCAATCTTCTGGGAGAGAACTGATCAGGGGGAGAGTAAATTGGCATCTCTGTGGTTAGCCAGATAGTAAGGAAAAATGATTATAGGAAAACTGCATCTGTGTTCAGTTCCCATTTGCAGAAAGGAGGGAAACGGGCACAGCTTGGAGTAGAAGAGMCTTGTCTCAGTCCCCATAATCCAGCTCACACTGAGCAGGTATTCCCACACTCTAGAGACCAGGAAGTGGAGCTGTATGTTCTTATGGAACACTGCTTTTAAAGTGTTGGTAGAAATTCCTTCTGAGAGTAATTTTTTTTCAACCCAAAGCCCGTTTATTTTGAGGTGACTATTTCAAAAGGGCCAATGACAAAATGAATTAAAAAACAAAATTGTCCAYAATGTGAGCCTTATTGATTCTACCCCATCTATTCATTTGCTGCCTGCCTTTATACTGTTTTTATTGAAATGTACCGATGGCAAAAACTGGCTGTGAATTTATTTTTCTTTAAGAACAAGGTAATGTGGCTGGATTAAGAGAAGTGATCAGAGCCTGTGTTGGTGTCAATGACTGCAGTTATTTCACTGTGGAAGTTTCAAATCTGAAGTCACAAACCATCAGACACTTTCATAACACTGGGCATGTGGAAAGGGAACTAAATCACTCCAGGGTCTGGCCACCTTCCCCATCAAGTTCAGGAGTTTTTGGGCTTCGGTACTGAAAGCCTTCCTGTAACCACTGAAGCTCTTGGAAGATCCATGTCCCTCAAGAAGTGGTTTTCATTCTCCCTGTGTTCAGACAAGGATGGTTCAGGTGGGCCCTGGAGTGCCCAGCTGCAAGTGCTGGTGTGACTGTGGGGTGTGAGGAAGCTCAGAGCTGGGGGCCAAACCCACAGATGCTTCTTTAAGCTGCATTTAAGTCGAGAAGGAAAGTTTTCCTTCAGTTTATTTGATGGATTAAAAATCTGAAGCTTATTCCCATTCAGAATAACCTCCCAGCTTAGGCAATGAAAGAGGGTCGAGTTTTGATGGAAATTTTGGGTTATCCAAGGCAGGGACAAAAGGGGAGTTGCAGACCTGTCCCATCTCAAACACTGCTCTGCAATGATCGTAAAGGCCCAGATACCTCCAGTCCCCGATGACAGCCTGACTGAGAACCAGAAACACCAACAGACCACCCAAAGCTCAGATACTCTTTGAAATCAAAACACATCCCCTCAGCCCCTTGTCTAGCCTGTACATAAAGGCCAGGAAGAAGCAATGCAGTGCTTTTATTTTTACAAACAGGAATCAGTTGCAATAGTTCCCCCAGTTCATAATACAACCAATGAAGCAGCTGCTTTCCCTCTGAACTTACCCTGAGGGGTGAAACTCTCTGAAGACAAATGTATCTGCACAGTACAATTAACCATTCAATTAGGAGAGTGTCAGCTCAGGAAATGTAAAGTGGATGCACTTTATTATTGGTCACAAGAGAACAGATTTAATATCCAAAGTTGTGATGTCTTCTGTCAGGATGGCTGTGCCAGGAGCTGCACTTTCACCTTCTGATGGTGTTTCAGTGGTACTTCCTCCTGCGGTCATGCTCTGCAGCAAAGCACAGCAAGTTAATTCTGCTAAACTCACAAGAAAAAAAAAACCCACCACACCTGAAATTACAGGCAAGAAAGCACTCTAAAAAATCCCTGAGCATMTATTTTCTATGTGCTGTCAGATCAGACAAGCACCAAGGTCTAAACTTTCTTCATTACCAAGTAAATACTCAATAAGCATTCAAGTTTTCTMTGGTTAAAAGAAGTTTGTTTGCCAACAGTCTTTCATTTTATTTCTAAAAGCATCAGCAGATAATAGTTTTTGTTTCCCAAGCTGCCCTGCACACACTCAGACATGGTTTTTACTTACTCACGTGACTGTAGCTCCACATATAGCTGAGCACAATATACCCAGCCAGCACCATGGAGATACCCCCGAGGCCTCCCTTCTTCACATTGATGTATTTGTTGTAGTATCTGTCATAACCTGTGGAGAAGGAAAGTTTTCAGAGCAGCCAGATAAGCTGTGTGTTACCCTGTGTGAGAAAGAATCAGCCTGGATTCACAAAACTTCAGGAAGTTTTTTGTGAAACATCTGAAGGTCTCATAAGTGAGTCTGGGAGGTGTCAGTTGAGCAGGGTGATCTCAAGTTAACAGCCCTAAGCTTTAAGAAAAAAATTGAAAAGGAAAAAAATCCTGTTTTTCATTGTTTCCTAAAGATTACTGTGGCTTTCATGAGCTCAAGCTGCTTTGGAATTGTCTGTTCCATACCATTATATACATGCACATGTGTGTTATCAAATGCAGACACTTGCATTTGACATTATGTTTAAATGCACCTGAACGAGATCCGTACCTACAGGAAAGGACATTGGTCCCAAGTGATCCATAAGAGCCCTGTTTCCTCTTTTACCATTTGTAGGGATCAACTGCTTTTTAATTTTTATTTACTTAYKWTGTTGGGAAACGCCGAGATTTTTAGCCAACGGGTTCAGGACTAAGGGCACCCCATTTCCCCTTTATACAAGAAAGAATACTGAAAACAAACATCCGCTGGATAAAGCCTACATGAGAAATAAATTTACATATGGAAAAACGAGATGTTATAGGAGAAACTGCTCTGGGAAAGCAAAACGCCATGGAGCAGCCCCTGCACTGCTAGATGCATCCCCCCACCCCGACAGTGGACGTCAGGCAACATGCACTCCGGCAGCCAGAGATTCTTGTGTGCTGCYCTCCCTGGCTCCGTCAGGAGATGGGATCGAGGGACCCGCACCCTCCGGGCCTTCCCCACAGCCCCCTCACCTCTTCGAACAGCCCCCATGATGCCGCCGGGGGTGAAGTCCCTCATGGCCAGCCAGCTGCCAAGCTGGCCTAGCTTCACATCCATCAGCTTCGTATCCTTGAGGAGAACTGCGGCAGAGAGAGGGAGAGAAGCCGGTCATTGCGGGGCTGAGGGAGGGAGGGAGGGAGGGGGCACCGCGGTCACCTTGATGCCCCCGCACTCACCCGGCTGCGCCATCTTGGTGTGTCCGGAAGGGCCGGGCCGCGGGGGCTGATGGGAGGAGGGACGGGCGGGAACCCGGATGGCGGCGGGGCGGGGCCGGCGCCATGTTGGGTGTGGCACGATCACCTCAGGAGGGACCATGGGGGTCACGGTGTCTCCTTGAGCCTGTCCGGCTTGTCCTAGTGACGGGACAAGGAGTAATGCGTACAGATTGGAAGCGGGGAAAATTTCGGTTAGGGAAAAAATTCCTCCCTGTGAAGGTGGTGACCCTGGCACAGGTTGCCCRGAGAAGCTGTGGGTRCCCCATCCCTGGAWGTGTCCAARGCCARGTTGGACAGGRCTTGGAGCAACCTGGGATGGTGGAAGGTGTCCCTGYCCATGGCAGGAGGTAGAATGAAATCATCTTTAAGGTCTCTTCCAASCCCTTCACATTCCSTGATTCTCTGATCTCCTCTCCAGGGGTCAGTTCTTCAGTGGGGGCTGCACATGCTGCCCCAGGTGCCACAGGCACTGCCAGCCTGACAGGGAGCTGGGCCACCTGAGGGATTTTCCCTTCTTTTCCACTCYAGCAGGTCCCTTCAGCAGCTGGGCCCCTCATCAGCGGATGGTAAACAACTCCTGAGCACGTCCTTCAATCCCCCAGGGCACTGCCTCGCACCATCCCACGCTGTGGGGTATCAGGTGCCCTCCTTGCATTGCTTCAGATTGTGAGAAAATATAGAAAAATTCACAAGTTGTCAGCATCTTCACACGTCTCCATCAGTAATCCTGTCGATGTCCCRCAAATGAACCTTTTCAGCGTGTTCTTAAGTTGCAACTCTAACACGGTAAATATGCGCTCACAGACAGTACATACTGCAACATACACTGAAATTGTTGCTTATTGCACTGCAAGAAGCYCCTTTTCAGTGGCCACTGAGGACTTTTCCCTGTGGGAATATGCTGTGTTCTACCACAGCTCCTCTGGAAGGGTGTCAAAGGCAAAGSAGAGGCTGGGTTGGGGTATATGGTGTAAATAAACCCGCAAAACCAGAGTGGTGTAGTAGTTAATGTGCAAATAAAGACAATTTTTTTCTTCCTGCAACAGGAATCATAGAATATCCAGAATTGGAAGAAACCCACAAGGATCAGTTTTGAACTCTTGGCCCTGCACAGACACCCAACAATCCCACCCTGTGCCTGGGAGTGTTCAAACATTCCTGAAGCTCTGACAGCCTCAGGGCTGTGTCCCTTCCCTGGGAAGATTGATCAGTGCTCAGCACCCTCTGGGGGAAGAACCTTTCCCTGGTATCCCTCCTAAACCTCTCCTGACACAGTTCTAGCTGTTCCCTGGATCCTGTCCCTGTTCACAAGGAGCAGAGAGTGGAGCTGCCCCTCGGGAGGAGCTGCAGCCCCATAAGTGTCCCCTCAATCTCCTCCAGCAGAACAAACCAAGATACCTCAACCACTCCTTGTTTGTCTTCTCCCCTACACCTTTCCCCATCTTCATACCCTCCTTTTAATTGCTTTATATCTTGTACTGAGGTGCCTAACACTGCACCTASAAATTGAGGTGAGACTGCACCAGCTCACTGTAGAACAGGGGACAGCTATGCATATTTATTTCCTGTTCCCCAGAGCCTTTCTGGGGGCTTCAGGCTSACCCTGAGCGCACCTGCAGCCCCGGGTGGTGGCACCAGGTGGGACTCCAGCAGGTGTCACTCGCAGGCAGCGGCTGCGGCTGATGGTCCCCGTGTAGTGACCTCTAGAGGCTTCGGATCCTCTCGTGCGGGTTCAGAGCAGTGTCAGGGTTTGTTGTTGATGGTGCTGAAGCTGAGACGCGAAGTGCTGCAGCGGTAAACAGGGAACAGCAGTTCCCCCGCTGCTCCTGACAGGTCGAACAGCACCCCGGGATTCCTGGAGATGAAATCTCCGTCCCACAGAGGATTGGTAGAGCGGATCAGAGATGAAAACTAAATTAAGGACGCTGAAAGAAGCCTGCAGGGCTCCTACATAAACACTAATCTCTGCAGCTTTTGCTTCTCTTGGGCTGCAGAGTCTTATTCCACACTCCTCCCTCCTGCCACTGCAGGATTCTTGGAATCTGCAGGGTTGTGTTACCTGATATTAAATCAGGTGAGGGAACCTGTGCTGTCTCAAGATATATGGAACAGTGTCACACACCAGAGGCTGGTCTCTGTGTCTAGCTTGACCCTCTAAATTAATTTTACCAAAATTAATTTATTTACATTGAATAGTTCATAACATAACATAACATAACATAACATAACATAACATAACATAACATAACATAACATAACATAACATAACATAACATAACATAACATAACATAACATTGCTGCCTGATAATTAATTCTACAGAAAGTAAGATTAGGGAAGTATAGTGTGTCTGATCACCTGAAGAAAGGGTTCCAAATTTAGACCCTGTTAAATGAGTTTAAAATCCTCTTATTAAATTATCCTTTATTTTATTATTGGACTTTACCGGTAACTGTCATTTTATGGCTGAAGTGTCCCCTGATGAACTACTATGTGCCCTTTATACAGYACTTACAGAAAATCATGCTTCAAACTTGCTTCCCTCATTCTTGCAAGGCAACCTATTGTTTTAAATAGGATTACTCATGCAAGGCAGATTAATTCACCTACAGGAAGAAAGCCAGTGGCGGGGGCCTCGTTTTAAGGAGTTCCCTGCAGAGCAGAAGAGCACATAAAGCTGCTCAAACTGCTTATGGCAAAATCTGGGGAAATTTGGATTGTTAGGATAGGGTGGAAATCCCTAATAAGGATCCATCTCCAATGGAATTAGAGGCAGCAGTGACTCAAGCTTGGCCTGAGCTGCCCATGTTGGCAGGGTGGAGGAACAGGGCTGTTCTCTTCATGCCACCTTAACCTGACCCAGCAGGAAGAGTGAAATGGTRCAGATGTGCAGGAGGTTTTGCTGCACGTTTCCTCCCTTTGACCTGTGCTGCTGGCCAAAATTCAGGGTCTTGTTGGTTGATCCAGATGGGAGGAGGAATGACAAAGACAGGTGTTTCTGATGTATTTCTGTTTGCTTACAAGAATCCTCGCAGCATCCTTCTTTCCTGACCACAGAAGAACTCWCACATCGAGAGCCAGTCCCTTGATTAGAGCTCCAGACCTGCTCCAGGCAGCAATGTGACCCCAAATCCTTGTGTTTGGTCCAGGTCTCATATCAGTCATTGTTCAGGCTCTTTGAAGTTTCCATTCTCTGCTTGTTTCCATACTCTGTGTTTCTGTCTCTTCCTCCACCTGAACCGGAGCATCCACACGTAACCTTCTTTCCTTTTAATATCCTACTCCAAATTGTCCTCCCAGAGCCTTCAGGTTCTTGAGCAGCCTCGTATTGTGGGTGGAAATAGACTTAATGTCTCCTTCAGCTACCCTAAATAAAGGAATGCAGTTATACCTAACAATTTCAAGAAGGTTTAGCTCAACCTCTAAAAATAAAAGCTTAATGGAGTGTTGCCCTGAGGTTTTCATCTTAGTGAAGAACCTCTCTAGAAAATGCTGTGAAGTTTGTAAATAATGGCACAGAAATAATAGAAGTAGAAATAGAAATAAATTCAAAACCCAGAGTATTTTGCAAAAGACGTCAATGGATATGAAAGAGATTTCCTTTTTCCACTAACAAGGGTAACACGTAATGTTGCAGCTTTCAGTCCAAAAATTCAGTCATGGCCTGAAAAGCTAAGGAGCACTTCATCTGAATTGCTGAAAAGGAGGAGTAAAAAGCAGAACAGCCTCCCTCAGAGGCTGGGATAATTTTTCCTGTTCAATCCTGTTTCCTGCCGCCCTTTGAAGTCTCAGGGGCTCACCTGGGTGGTCAGTGGTAATGTAGGAATATACAGACACAGTGTCTGTAGGTGTGTGGGGCAGCACMCAGTGGCCTTCAAGAAGGTCAAGAAACGAGGATTTACCAAAATGATCCCGTGCCCACTGAAMCTGATGACAAAGCACCCAGTGCTTTTAATAAAGGATCAAACCTTCGGTGGTTTGTGGAGCAGATAGGGTTCTGAAACATGTGGTTTGGCACAGGATGCCTCTTGGCTCCAAAGCACTCATTTCAAWCTGATAAATCCCCCCAGCACAGGTTAAGGAGCTGCAGCCATCGAGGAGAAAGAGAAATCATGGGCTACCAGCACTAACAGAAGCTCAACAGAGAGAAGCACGTTCTGTCAGCAGTAATTTGGAGAAAAGTTATAGCCCCAGGCTGCTTCATCCAGTCAGTTATTTTTTAATTGTAGCAACAGTTTGGTGTGGTGRGAGCAGAGCAGCTGCTGAGGTCTCAACCTCGTTCGTCTAAAATTGTGCTTGCAGTGGAAACCAGATTCCAGTGTTGAATAGGATAAGAAAAGGGTGTGGAATMTGAAATCTTTTCCATGGCCAGACTTCCTCAGGAAAATGGTGAATTGCCTTGCAGAGATAATAATACCTAGGGATTGACATGGCAAAAGCAGTTGAGAGAATGAACCTGTGATTGCAAGCAGATTGCTTGCTCTGTGTTATTACAAAGCCATTTTCCTTCATCAACCTCAAAACACTTTGCAGAGGAGATCACTTACCAATGATTAATAGTTTAGCATGTACATAGTTCTTTTCTCCTTCACAGCASTTGAGTGTTGATGCATCTTCATGCTCCTCTGATAAAATGTGTACATTAATATTATGATTATCTTTTCAGGTGGTGAAATTTGAGCCCTGGGTTTAGGAGTGGGGAGGGGGAACTCCTCCCTCCTCTTTTGGTCCCATCTTGCTGGCCTTTGCTTGTATCTGGTATCAGTTGCAAAAGTACCTTATTTTATAAGTCTTTGATCAGCCTGGTGGTTAGCTAAATATATACCTGTGGGGAGRTAATTACATGCTATCAGTAGTAAAGTGTACTAAAATAATGTACATTAATTAAAAACACTTGCAAAGCCAAAGGAGGAATTTTCACAGAGATAAATCTGCTGCAGCAACAGCTGTACCTGAGACTGCTTCCCAGAAACAAACATGAAAATAAAACCAGGGACGGGTGAAACCCAGTT